AAACAATAAAATTTTTGAACAGCTAAAAGATCTCTTACTGGTTGATCAAATTAACAAGCATACTTCTCCTGATTTCAAAAAACATTTTAGGATGAATGGACTACCATCATTTTACCTACTGAGATGGTTAACAAAATTGAAGATGTGAGAAAAACAATAAAACCGAAATTTTCTGCCAATCAAACTGAGAGAATTAACAAAGGATCATTTAAACCTCGTTATGATAATTTTGTGAAAAAAATAGAGTACCCGCCTCATTTTAAGCATTCTGATAAATGGGATGACTCAAAATACCAAAAATATCACTGACAAAGAAGTCAATTTCAAAACAACAACCAAGAAAATTTAGATGATAAAAGATATCGAACGCGTTGTTTCGAGTATGAGTCATACGAACATTTTAAGCCTCAGTGCTTTCGCTTAAAACCAAACGAAAGGGTAAATTGCCTATCTTCGAATGATGATTTGTTAGAGACATATACAATAACGGTTTGCATATTTCACAAGTGCACAACAGTGTAGCCACTGAGGGAGGAGTTTCGAAAGTGGACCAATGAGTTACTATTGCTCTTGTATAGCTAAATCTTCGTGCATTTGAGGGTATGTTGTTTACGTTTTATTTTGCATTTGTTTCGCAGTTATAAATATAGTAGAAAATCTCATAGTGCTTTCGTTTTACGAGTTTAATTAATCGCTGACATTTCACTTACGCGATTTTTATCCCGCATTAATATTTGAATTGATGTTCACGGCATATTATCGCTCTTTGCATCGAGAAAGTGACTCAAGCAACAATTAGCCTCGAATATTATGCATTTACTAACACCTGTGGATTAAGAGAATTTAAATGTATAGTTTCTTTTTTTTAACTGAGCTGAGAAGGACTGAAAGTGTTACTATGACTTTGGTGTTTTCTTATTTCAGAGCTTGCATTCTTTTTGATTTTTAAAGATTTTAAAGTGTTAAAGATTTGATTTTTAAAGTGTAAGATTCAGAATACATATTGTGTATGATCTAATTATATCCATTTTTAAAAGTTATATGTGAATAAATTGAATATATTCGTTGTGAATAAGGTAAATTCATTCTGTTTGATGAGTATTTCTAGTGTAGACAGTACATTTAATGATAAAGCCAAAGCACTTTTGACTTTAGTACCAATTATTTTAGAAATATTTTCAAAAATTAACTTTGACGCATGCTACCCTTTTGCAATAACACCAAATGGCAATAGATATTTAATTACAGCTATTTGTTTAGCTTCAAAATATCCGGATGCTGTCTGTACCTGTTCCTAATATTGGCACAACGTCAGTAATTGAAGCCACGTTGCAAATATTTAGTAGAATGGGTATCCCGAAAGAAATACAAACTGATCAAGGTACATCCTTTATGAGCAATCTAGCCATTGAATTTGTAGAAAAATTTGGATAAAAGTAACTAGAAGCTCAGTACTATTGCGTAGCTGAAAGTTAAGGGTTTTTAATCTTTTAACCTTAAAACTTTAAACTGACTTTTAACTTTTCCTTAACCTTGGTGCCGGACAAAACTCTAAAAAAATATAAACAATATAATCATAAAAAGTGAAATTCTATCAAGGCACATAAATGTCTTTTATCACTAAATCTCAACACCTAATCAAAACAATGAGTTAAGTAGTTAGTACAATTGGAGCGCGTTGTGAGAACCCGTGTAAAAAGGGAAACATCAATAACACCAAATTCAATAAAGATCCATGTTTCTTAAAAAAAAAAAAAAAAAAAAAAAAAAAAAAAAAAAAAAAAAAAAACACAGTTGCAGCTTACAATAATTAATAAACCTTAAGATGAAAAATAACACATATTTTATTCCAAAATTAACATACTCATATTAATTTGTAAGTTTACTATTTTTTGACGTTCAATAGCTCACTCATTAAGCTGGTAAAACAAATCTTTAAAAAATCATTTACAGACTGTAAATTAACTGGTCATTATTCAAAATATTCTAATCCCTTAGTAGTTTACTTGTATAAAATAAATGATTTTCTTCTAAGTAATTTGAAAGGATAGAGAGGTAATCGAACTTAAAAATCACTCACAGATTTCCCGGATCATAAAATCTTGAGGGAAGCGTCCAATTTTTCTCACGGAGGAAGTCGATTTCCTTGAGCCAACACCTTGATTACAGTTAATAAACTAACACTCGCGCGCTGAAGTCCATTCTTCACAAGAATATCTGGAAACGGGGTCCAGTGGGGTGAAGTCCTTTTTATAAAACTAACCGCCAGATCAGGGAAAAGTTCGTTCTTCAGGAACATATTTCTGTGGGGAACGTCTAGGCATCAGGAACCACAGGAGCCGTATAGTAATAATTACACGTCGATTCGAAACTTCCAAGTGTCAGTTATATTCACTAACAATCACGCGCTAAAATAGTTCAGTAATAGTAAACAGTCAAATAGTAAACAGTCAAATGTTCTTTGCAGCTCGCTCACTTTTCTCCAGACATCTCGAGAGGAAAATGTTCCTTGCATCTCGCACAAAAACTTCTTAAACATTTCCCGCAAAACAATGCAACCTCCAGAGCAAAGACAGACGCAGCCCAAGCCCTCTTGCTCATTAAGCCCTGAGCAAGGCCAAACGCCCCTCGATCTTTCTTTCTCTTTCACATCCCGGCTGCTCAAAATTCACTCAAATCAGACTCCGGCCCCGTAAATTCATAGGCTTACAAAAAAATCATAAAATTAAATCTCACCAACCCCAAAATTTTACTTTATCTCTAACTGAGAAACTGCACCCCCACAACGAATCAAAAACAAGAAAAATCTGACAATGAAGTCCTGACCATCAGTACTTCGGAAAAAACGTGAAAAATAGTCCCCCCAGCCAACAAGCAGAAACTAGCGGTAAGAAAATCCAATTACGTAAACTTACTGAAGGAAATATTACAAATATAACAAAGCTAAAGCTAGTGAGAATGAGAAAGCCGATTTATGATTTGAGTTGTAAACGAGATGGCAAACAGTCTAACTAACTTCAGTTCTACTGTTAAGAAAAAGACCATAAACCAGATGTGTTCTCGTAAACGTATCCTGTCTTTGTTACACTTTATACAGTTTCAAGAATAAAGCTTTAACATTTTAAGAATACTCCTTTTATCCGTTTGAAATATAAATGAGTACAAATAAAAATACTAGAATAATGATAACTTAAAACAAACATTAATATAATTGGAATTCATGACATAACAGTACACCACCCGCAAAGCAACCCCGTTGAAAGATTTTACCGAACAATCAAACGAATTTTAAAAGTCTTATGTATCGAAGCAGCCCCTGAGTGGGAGAAGCAAGTTCCCGCAGCTCTATTTGCTTTAGGAACAGTAACGCGCACGGGTGCGGGATTTACACCTGCAGAATTAGTATATGGCCGAAATCTTGAAAGATCTGTAACATTATTATGTGAACAATGGAGGAATCCTCAAGACGAAGGAAATAATGTTGTTGAATACGCTTTCGAATTAATAAATCGGTTAAGAAGATGCAAAGAGCTGGCCATATATAAAATGCTGGAAATGCAAACCAAAAGAAAAAAGTGGTACGATCGTAAATCTATCAAAAGATGATTCTCTGAAGGAGATTTATTATTAGCTGGATCAACGAGCAAACCAAATAGGCTAGCTGTTGAATGGAAAGGTCCTCGGAAGGTTAAGAAGAAATTATCCGAAAATAATTATGTTGTGAGTTTCGAAGGAAAAAGAGACCTTAATGAAGTCTACCATGTTAACATACTAAAACCTTATCATAGGCGAGCAGAATCGGTCAACCTTATGATTACAGAAGATGAATCTGAAACTGATGATATGGAGAAAAATTTCCCAACAATTGACTCTGAATCGACATTGTTCGATTTTGAGGAAATTAAAGAAAACTGTTACTTATATGATAAGCTAAATGAACAACAAATTCAAGAATTGCTTGATCTGCTGTTGAAGTTTTCAAAATCTTAGCCTGGAAAAATTTAATAACGCATGATATTCTGTTGACAGAAAACACAAATATATTAAAACAAACAAATATATTAAAAACAGAAATTGATAAAATACTTCAACATAAAATAATTGAAATAGATGCTTCAAACTCTGGTATGAGTGCCGTTTTAGCTCAGAACGATGAACGAGACAATGAACATCCAGTATTATACCTCAGTAAGAAGTTTACAGAAACTGAAAAAAGTACTCTACCACAGAAAAAAAATGCGCCGCCATAATATGCTGTAAAGAAACTGCAATGTTATTTAGACGGGCATACTAAACTCCTGATCATGACAGATCATAATCCACTAGTATGGCTAAAAAATAATGTCAATCTAAATCCACGACTTATGAGATGGGAGCTAGTATTACAACCCTACAATTAAACTGTCGTTTATCGAAGTGATAAAAACCATACAAATGTAGACGCATTAAGTCGCACTCCCTTGTCTGTTTAAATAATTTGTTTCTCTATATAGATAAAAAAATTATGTTCTTTCCTCTCTTCCTGAGTATATGTTATTATGTTATTTATTGTATTTGAATTATGTATTGTGTTTTGAGAAAAATTGTAAACTTTAATTTATGAATATATCAATTAAAGTTTATCTGGAGGGGGAAGAGGTTGTAACATTTTATTGTTTAGCAAACAATTATATTTATTATCCTTTGATATTGGAGTTGAAACTGCATATTTGTATCATGTAACCTTTGCTCAGCAATGTTAGAAGTTGTTTAAAATTGATATTCTGAAAGTTTTACCAGTTAGTAGTTGCATGAAGAACTTATAGAGAAAGAAACTTTAATAGAAAGCTGGAGTGTGAAGCTGTAATTTGATAGGATTGATTTTTAATTTTCTATATTTGTGAATTGATAATTTAAATTCATTATCTATATTTGTGAATTAAATTTAAATTCATATGATTTGCTAATATGTTTGAAAATTACTTAAAAAATTTTTCAAAGTATTCTGCACTCTATCGCAGATCCACAGATACCACTAATCCAAGAAGCCATGCAACACTACGCAAACAAAACTTGCATCCGGTTTGTATCCAAAGAAAAAAGCGACAAGCAATGCGTTCGTATTTATCCTGGCAATGGGTGAGAAATTTTTAATTGTTTATATTTAACAATTTAGTGAAGTACTACGTACTAAGTTTAACATTGTTTTATAGAGTCTTCTTGTGTGTTTCGGTATCATCAACGCGTAGACCCTACTGAAAGACTATATAGCGAATTCTTGTTAAGTTTTGAAAGACAGATGACGACAGAAGAAGGTTTTAATAACCTTTGTTAACTAAACTGAACAAACACGCACTCACTCAGTGCTCACGATTAACCACCACTTGTGGCTAAGTAACGTGAACAGAAAATAAGATGTACAATCACAATAAAGTAAAGATTGGCAACACGAATGACTCTTTCTTTATCTAAACCGCTACATCGGCTGTGCACATGTAAGCTGAGCCTAGAATATCAATATAATTTAAAGAAAGCGGCTAGCACCAACTATTAACTTACTCGTACAAAAGAGCTACTTCAAACAAGCGGCGTAAATTCGGAACTAAGTCTCTTACTGCGAACTCTTAAAACTGCTGCTTAAGTACATTACTTTGATATGCATACACATCATTAAATTCTGTACGAAATAAAAGTAATACGACACCTAATTACATAAATTTTCAAATCTGCAATTTAACAGCAGTTCCATACATCTTCCATGCATTGGTAGTTTGTCGCTTTCGTCCCCATCATGAATATTTATGAGGCTGTTTCGAGGCCGTTTTATGCTTGGTCATAGCGATAAGCACAAGAAGCACGATAAATATAAGATCAGAAAATAATTACACTGAATTGTTCTATCAATACTAGCACCTTAAACTGCCCGAATAAGAAAAGTTTGGAGCCAATGGTTGTTCGATTTAGATTCAAATCCTGAGGTACGGGTAGCCGCATGGTAATTTTTTTATATTTTCTCATAAAGAAAGCAAATGTTAGCTAGTTTCATTTAAACATTCCGCCACGAAAGCACCCTTCACTTTAGAAAGATACCATAACGTACTTTGTTAAAATACATAAAAAAAGTATGCAATAAATATTAACATTTTTCCCAAAGTCCTCTTCAGAAAAGTTGGTGTAAAGCTTATCTGCATTGCATAATTTCCTTTTTCTTTTCTTGGGTAGCTTTTTCAATGGAAATGTTTGATTTGGTTTAGTTTATTATGGAAGCAACACTAGGGTTATCTGCCTTAGGATAGGGATGCCTTCGTGGAGGACTTTCTAAAGGAAACTGTCTCGTATACACGTTACACACGTGGAAAAGCACGAAAACTCTCATGCGGCCAGGCTGTTCGCTTGGATTCGAACCTAGGTTAGGGCTATCAGTGTTTAACGATTTTATCGCTCGACCGCTGGTGGGCCTTCAGTGGAAAGATTTGGAACCAGTTTTTTTTTTTTTTTTTTTTTTTTTTTTTTTTTTTTTTTTGTCTGGTGTCAGTTTTTACTGCATACTGCATTTTGCATCAGTTGTGTGCTAAACTTGCGAAGATATGGAGCAAAAATTAATTATTATTTCTAATTAACAATGTTCTTGGGGAATTCAAAAACTTGTTTCATCAATCTGCTGACGTCGAAAATATAGTTCATGGTCAAAAATGCACTAATATGCTATTGATAGTATACCGCTGGGTACCACTAATCGGCAAATACCCTTGAGTTTGATTTCAGCCAACTAATGGCCGAGAGGTTAAATTTATAGAACAATGGCAGCTCGCTTGGAATCTCAGTTCTGTTGGTTGAATCTCAGTTCTGTCGGCTGGAAGCCTAGTGCGTCCATGTCTTTTCAAATACATTTTCTTCTCAATCAAAGCCAGCTTCCATAAGAAACTCCTTCACGAAAGTACCCCTACCATCGGAGAAAACATTTTTAAAATTATCCTACTTTGTTTAATATAAAATTTCGTATTTTATATTATTTAAGGATTGCAGCAGCTTTCAGTTAATATTTTTGTAGTAATTTAATATAAATTAGTATAAATTATGAATGTCTATATGCTTTTTTAAACATATATATACATATATTAATGTGAATATATGCTTTCTTAAACACATCGGAGTTTGTTGGACAAGCGAGGAGAGTGTTTATTCTCTTATTTTTCTATCTAAGTGAATGAATTTATATTAATATTTAATAGTAGGCAGGTTTATTCCTAAATGTACTCTCATACTTAAATTTTTCACTTACACTAAGAAACTTCATACTTTTTTATTCATTTTGTATTTTTAAAAACCTAATGCATTCGCATTCTGCTAAGATAATCACCCTCTCAAAAGAATCCTCTGAATACTTTTACTCAATCATTTCAGATGTTATTGGAATCCCCGAAGTGATCGGCTATCTCTTGCAGCAGGATGCTACAACTTTGGGACCGTTGTCCATGAGCTGGGGCATTCCGTTGGTTTGTTCCATGAGCAAAGAAGAGCAGATAGAGATGACTATGTGAATATTCATTGTGAAAATATACTGCCCGGTGAGTAAACTGAAATTTTGATTTAGATATACTCAGATCTGTCAAGCTGTATAAAGCAAGCTTTACATCAGGTTGATCGGTTATTATGCATTTCGCTTTTGACATATGATCACTTCTTACTTAACAAGATCCAAATCTTCTGGTACCTTTCACTGTCATCTGATCTTAATGCACGGCTTTATTATTTCTTAAACTTTACTGCAACTCTTATTGGTTATCTGACAGTTAAATCCGTAACAAGAAGTTATTTAATAACCTGTAGCATGTAGAATTAAATTTTAATTCAATTAACTACGACCACGAGTCTTCATTTGCAACTAATAATAATGAAAATAGAACTGAGCACCGAAAACTCAACGTTAACTGCATAGACTTTATTACAGCCGAACAGCCTTTACCCATTGAAAGAATCAGTAAGACAGCGTTCTAACTTCAGTTTTTAATAACCCCCAAGACTCTTAATTTAACTATTTTCATTTTCAATCCTAGAATATTACCATGCTTATAATAATTCTTTCTGAAGTGAATTATTCAGAAATAATCCTTGCTATATCATTTTATACAACACGCATGACGCATGCATTAGTTATATAATGACGAAAAGCCTTTAATATACTAAATTAATAAAATCTTTTTTCCTATCATGAAGTGGATGTTGATCATTTTAATTTATATTATTCATTATTATGTTGCTTTCTTTCACTGAAATATTTACTTCCTATCTAAAAATTTAGCTAGAGAATATTGTAATTATTTTGGACGTATATAATTTATTTGCTTCTTATTTTAGGCAAGGAAGATCAGTTTGAGAAGCTGCCGCGGATACAAAACCAACTGCTCACACCCTTTGATTACGACTCTATTATGTTGTATGGAGAAGGTTATTTCAGTAAAAGTCCTGGCTTGAAAACTATGACTGCTAAAGACGGCAGGAAATTGAAGGACGTGGCGGATAAGCCTGGGCTCAGTGAAAGCGACATTATCAGAATTTCCAAGCTGTATAATTGCTGATTTGCATTTCATTATAGAGAATTAATATTTAGAAAAAAAAAAGAAAAAAAATGGTGTAACGTTTCATTATTTTAAGTAACGCCTTGTAATGTTACGTCTTGCCTATTTATATACTCTTGTTCCGCCAGCGGCCAAGCGGATAGGACCTCTGAGCATTAACTTGTCTCAGGTTTGAATCGGGAGAATCTGATCGCAGTATGGGTGCTTTCATGGTTTATAAAGAATACAAGTCAGCTACCATGGAACGTCTACCACGAAGGTATTCAAATAACCGTACACTGTTTCATCGCGAAAAAAAAATTGAAGTATTAAAAGGTTTATTAACAAAATGTCAGAAGATTTTAAAATGAATGTTCCTATAGCTGATATTTAATCTTGTAACTTTTATATTAATACTATAACAGGAATCATATGATATAAAATATTAGAGCTTCACCGATTGATAAAAAGTTGATTTCGAGTAATTATACGTATTTAATTTAAAAAATTATAAAAAAAATTATCAAAACTGCAAAGAAATCACAAAATTTCGCTTTAGTTATCTATTAATAAATCTTTCCACTACATCAAAATGCAATCAGTCATGCATATTATGTGTGATCGGTTTATAATTATCATTTTAGGAAGAAATTATGGTGAGAGTAGAATTAATGAATGCTGAAACACCATCTTTAAAAGTGATCAAACTAGATTTATGCTAAAAATTCAATAGGAATGTCTCTCTTACAATAGGAAGAGGAATAGGAATAGGAATCAATTTACTATCTTTTCAATAGGAAATAGGAAGGTCTCTCTTTCAATAATCATAAAATATTGACCAAAATTTTAAAGAAAAGCTATAAAGATGTTTATAAACAATGCTTTTTTCTTTAATGCATTGTCTCAGTTTTAATCAAACCTTTTATACCTTAAATCAATTTATTTATTAAACCCTTTTTAAGCTTTCCTTTTGGTAACCACCAGCGACCAAGCGGTAAAATCGCTGAACACTGGTAGTTCGGTCTGAGATTTGAATCTCGCGAATGGGTTGGCTGCATGGGCATTTTCGTGATTTTTCCCATGCGTAACGTGCTATATATGAGCCAGTTTTCTTTAGAAGGTCTTTCACGAAGGCATCCCTACGCTTACTAAGCAGATAGCCCTCGAGGCTTCGCCATAATCACGTAAACCAGCCAAGCTTTACTTTTGTAAAACATTATATTTTTCTGCGGGCATATATAAATGAAATTGCAAAATTAAAAAAAAAAAAAAAAAAAAAAAAAAAAAAAAAAAAAAAAAAAAAAAGAAGAACTTCACTATAGGAAATACAAGAATTAAAGAAAATAAAAAGGAAGTTTCGTCGACTGTATTTAAACGATCAGATAAAAACATTTCTCTCAAACTCAGATATTATATGGCTATATTTCTTAATAAAGAATTTAATTTAACATATCTTGAAATAATGAAATTAAAAACCATAACGTAGTTTTGACACTCGAAAATAATGGGCATAACTTTAATCCATATTATGGTAAAACCTGATTTTTAAAAAATTGCAAACCTACTTTATGAGTCTCTATAATAATGAATTAAATACGTAGTTATTAAAAATTAAAACAGAGGAGATATTTATAATAAATTAAACTATACAATTACTTAAAGCAATCAACAATTACTTAAAGTGTGCTCAGAAATAGTTTTTGAACTGATGACATGGAAATAAAAAAAGGAGAATAGCTTTCTCCGATTGTTTGTATTGTAAATATGTTTTCGATCGTAGTTAAAATCTTGTGTTTCTTTTAAATGGTAATATATCAGTCTTGGGCGACTCACAGGGCTTTATTTCTAAAATTAGAAGTGTCAGAGCCTATGGGAGACCGTCAAGAAAGAGGTACAAGAATAAATATATAAATAAAATAACTAAAAAATAATTAATAGTTAAATAATTAATTATTAAAATAATTAATGATTAAAGTAACTTAACAATTTAAATTTAAATTTAATAAAATGTGAAGAGCTAAATTAAAATTTAATAAGCGATTTTTAATTTAGCCGAAATCAGCTTTAGAATAGAATGCTATTAGTCTCCCAAACGGTATTTTGCGTTGAATCACTTTAAATATCGAAACACTTTTCAAATTGTCGCCAACAAATACTATCGCTCTGTATTATATCTAAAGAAACTAAATAAAGAAGAATCTGCATGAATGCAAGTATATTTCTCGCATTGTGAAAAAACAACGGTATCAAATTTTGAGTCATCAAATTTTGAATAACATAGTCCTCACTTGAACATGAGCACTTGGAAATCTGAATTTGGAACTTGTTTTGTTCTCTATTTCACATTTTATAAAACGTTAACGAATTTTTGATTAAAAAACTCAACAATTTTAAAGCGAGCAGTGTAGGGAACATTTTTATCTTCAGTGCGCGAGACTCTCTATCAGAAATTCTAAAAATATGCTGCTTTAAATACTTTTAGCACAATGTGGCGTTAGCCCAAATGTTCTCGAAACGTGTATGTGTCTGTAAAATAAGAAATAAAAAAATCCCCTCGTTTTGGCTTAATATAAAATCTGAATGCTTTCAGATTCTTTTAATTACTAAAAATAACATTTTCGAGATTAAATTTCTGTTGAATTTTTTTTTGCATTTAATGCAAAATCTTGCCATATGGTGCATACTTTATTCGCTTAAAATGTATCTTTTACAACGCGGGCATTAATGCAATCATCTCCGTACGGCAGGTTTGGAAAAAATACAAAACTGAATTTGACTTATCTCAAAATCTATCTAAAATTCTGAATAGAAGAGGGTTTGTCCCATTCATAACGAGGTCTGAATGAAAGTGAATCGTACGGTAATTCATAATCCGCCATATGGCACACAAAAGCGAAAACCTGCCCGCGAATATCTACCGCTTAATTCGAATGTAAGTACTTTGCAAAAACTTTACGGGCGGCAGATGCGTATTTGTGAGGGTCACAGAAGAACCCTCAATCTCTTGTACTCCCCCGGAGGTTATTCATCAACAGGGGAGGGCCTTCGCAGGTTGATGGGGAAGGGGTGCTAAGGGAAAGCCCATATGGCGTCAGAGGCCGCAAAAGTTAATCAGTTCTGTTCAGTTAAACCGCAGGAGGCAAAGCAGTGATTGAGGTTGACGAAACGGAACACCTGTTGCATTTCTGACCTGGGTAAGACTAAGAAAAAAATGAACGAAACCTGCAGGGCTGTACTAAACAGTGTATTACTAGGTGAATGAGCAGGTTGCAATCTGTAGAAAACTACTGCATAAAATGGCGAGTCGTTTCATATACGCCTTCTTTCGGACAGTTTTGTTATTGCAAGTGCAATATATATATAAGATATATATATATATATATCATTGCTTGACGTAATATTAATTAAGTGCGAATATTTAAAACACCAATAGTAATAGTTGAGGAAAACTTTCAAAAATTATCATATATACAGAGAGATTATAATTAAAGTGCAACTTTAAAATACTGTAAAAAAGGAACCACTTATCAGAATGACTTGAAATTTGACGTGAATATACATGAAGCAATGGGAAAAGATAAGAAAGACAATAGTTAAAAATTTTATCAATAGATTGCGCTGTAATCGTTATAATATGCTAACTAAAAGATGTGACTTGCGCATGATGCATTAGACTTAATAAAAAAACCGCAGGGTTACGTAGAGCTGCCATTATTCTGTATTTGAGAAACTCGTCGGAATTCTGTCAATGAAGAATCGGGCTCTGCCTAAGAAGCTCTTTTACGAGAACAGTGACTCTGTCATGAAGAAGTTGAGGATACTAATGGGTATAAGATGCGGCAAGCGCTGCATGAAGAGACGAGCAGTGGTGTGGGAACGGGCAGTGCAAGGGTCTTTTAGTGCCAAATCTTTAGACATGCCTATCAGCAAGGTTCGTAAAATCTTTCGAATTACGCATTCGAAATTATGCATTTTCAGTATTTGCTTTCTGTTGGCCTGCCAATGCGACAAACTTTCTCCGTACAAATTCTTGCTTGGATGGAAGTGGACAATGCATGGCCACGGAATTTTTTATGGATACATGAAGCCCACTTGCATCTTCAAAGTTCTGTCAACCCTAAAATTGCAGAACACGAAAAACGGATAATACATTGCCACTACACCAACTGCCTCTTCATTCTACAAAGATTACTGTGTGGTGATGGTTTACGGTAGTGTCTGTCGATGGCTTATTCATTCTCCAAGGAGATACGTCCTACAGTTACGTCCTTTACCCTGTACCGTCAATGGCAAATGGTAGGAATTTCTTTTCAGCAAACCACAGCAGTTTACTTGCCTCTCCGCTAAACATGGGCCTGGGGAACTTGTAATCCAGGAACTGTTTTAACAAAGTTTATAACGTCAGCGGGACCGCCTGGTAGATATGCTAACTGCCGAAGAAAATCAGCTACCCTGCCTTAGACGGAAAGAAAGAAATAACCTTCCAGCATTTAAACAGCGTGCATGCATGTGTGTAGCACAAATTTTATGCAAGATGGCGCTCCTCCGCCCATTGGAAGACGAAGTGAGGTAGCTTCTGAATCTCCATTTCGAAACGACAGAATTATCAGCCCACCCCAATCACCGGACCTTAATGCTTGTGATTTCTGGCTTTAGAGTTACCATAAAAATGTTTTTACAGAGGCGCGATTGCGAATTGAAGACGAGTATTACGCCCCATATTCACAACATCAGCATGAATACACTACAGTCTGTCATGGAACATGATGTTTTTAGATTTCATCTGGTGGCATAAAACGATGGATAGTATGTTGAACATTTCCAAGGCAAGTCTAGGGACAGTCAAAAACGAACCGCCAATGCCTTTTTATTTGATTTATGGCCCAGAGATAATTAAAAACTTATTATTTTTTGAAAAAAAAATTCGACTTATGTTTTTCTTTTGCCAGGCATATTCCACTACTTTACTTATCTCAGGTTCAATTTCAAGTCATTCTGACCAGTGGTTCTTTTTACAGTCTTTCGAAAGTGGGACTTTAATTATAAACACCATATACTATTATCTATTAAAA